TAAATAGAGAAATTTCATAATTAAACGAATGCATAAATTAAATGGAAATTAACGAGTGTGGCAGTCAAAATCAAAAGTAATCTAGTGCAACTTAAAGCCCTACTATAAATAGATCAAGTATATACAACGATATCGCTAGTTAAATTCAATTCGACGTGTCAAGTGTTTCTATTCGATGCAAAGTGTTCAAAGTGTGAGTGTGTGTGTGTGTGTGTGTGTGTGTGTGTGTGTATTAATTGCGTTGCAGTTCCTGGAATAAAGTTGACTGTGTCGCCTGTAAGGGAAAGGCTTTTGCATTGCTTACAAAGTCAGCAACTTGATTCCAGCAACTGCGGCCCAAGCTCAACGTGGGACTGAACCGAAACCGAAACCGAATCTGGACTTCCGTAAAAGAAAAATAAAATAATAATAATAATAATAATAATAATAACTAAGAATATGAATTTCGATCAATGTGTTGACTTTAAAAAGAGCAGTTCGTATCGTTCGCTAAGCAAACGAAGGTCCTTTGTTAATATTACAAATAAAAAATAAATAAAATATCAGTTTGCCATTGTGTTTAGTTTTCTTCCTTTGAACTGTGTGCATTCAAATGCAACCCAAGAAGCTTTTTATTTTTAGAAAAAATAATAATAATGCAATAAGATAAACAACTTAAATATAATGAATGCGTAAAGGAAACAAATGCTAAAAGCCACGATTCTAGTCAGCCGATAGAAAGCAAAGCAAAGCAAAAATAAGTAAATAATAAAAGAGAAACAAGAAACAAAAGAAAACCACAAAAATGCAAGGCAAATCAATTATGAGGAGTGAAAGCTCTTTATGTTAATATTGTATAAAATGTCATTCGAATCTGATTTTCCTTATCGATGCACGAATGATGGAAGCAAACTCCAAAGAACTTGTTATATTTTTATAAACAAATCAATAGCTAAACTAATTTATATGTCTAACGATGTTTATATACCTAGTATATGTATATGTAACTGTACTTGTATTTGTATTTGTATTTATATTTGTATTTGTATTTGTATTTGTATTTGTATATGGATATTAACATGTAAAACGTGAGTGTTATTTATTTTTGTGCTTAACTACAGCATTGCTATGCCGAGATCTAGAGCTAAACCAACAGAAACTGAAACTGAAACTGAAACCGAAACCGAAACTAATACAGAAACAAACAGCCTCGAGGCGTTCAAACAGCAACAAAAACCAAAAAACCAAACCACAGAATCATAAGATATGATGTGAACTATTGTAAAAGCTATAACGAAATTATTGAAATTCAATTGGGCAAATTAAGTAATTTAACGAAACACAACAACAAAAGGCAAATATATGAGAATAAATATTTGAAAATACATATAATAAACGCTGTTCTTTGGCTGAATTGCGCGGTGGGGTCGGGCGGGGGTGGTTGGCAGTTGTCAAAGTTCGCGCCACGGCGCAACTGGAAAGTAACCAAGGCCAAGACGTTGGCCAGACGCCGCACTTCAAGTACATTAACGGCATATCACCAGGCACCGAAATAAAGCTGATTACGAGCGGCGACAGTTGTAAACTTCCAAATGGCAGCTGAGATCTCGACTCGGTTGACAGACGGCGAAATGCGTGGCAGTACAGCGGGGGTTCCCCTCGCACTGCCGCACGCGGCGTATGAGTGATTTTTATTTGGCATATAATTTAACCGGCGTCATGGCAACGAAGCCCGTCCCCTCCCACCACGCATAGAGGGCGGGCCACATTACTTGTGTTTTGTGTAATTTATCAGCTTATTGCGTCGCCAATAAGCGAAACGTTTCGACCGAATGAAGCAGCCAAAATGTGACATGGAATCAAATACTTAAATACTTTCAAACAGCAACCGTTGGCTGCTGGGTCAGAGTTCGCATTTCACGTTAAAAACTAAATTTATTTCCCCATACAGGTGCAGTCTGTCCCAACAAAAACTTTGCCCAACCTCCTGAGCCCAAGTGCCAAGTGGAAGAACTTTTATAAATATTTTTTTTTCTCATTTTTTGTTTTTGTTTCTGGCATCTTAAAAACTCATAAAACATCATATTGTAGCTATGCAAATGTGTGTAGTGTGTGTGCGTATGTGTGTGTGTATCGGAGCTATATTGGAAATGCCTAAGGAAATTATGTACCAAAAATAAACTTAAATATTTCCACGCAAAATACGCGTGAAGCGGGCACAGCTAGCCGAAACTTAGGCATACATACATATATTTATATATA